CTTTTTTGTATTCCAATTAGTGAACCATTGAATGAAAAATTCTGGCTCTGCGCCTTCTAATACACGGATAATTTGAGCATTTTGAGAACGGCCCTTCTAAAAATCATTAAAAATCGAAGCATATAATTCTTGATTTTCTGGTATAAAATTTAAAAGTTTAATATTAATACATATGTTATGTTTAACTTGTTTCAGTTTTACCATACAAACTGATTCAATGAGATAGCTTACTATCAAATGGAAAATCGGATATCCTAAATCCTGGTCTATTTAAATAAATTTATTCGAGAAAATATATAATGGTGGGGTTCCTTAATATATTTTAAGGCTGAATCTATTGCATATTTGGGTTACTTTCAGGCCAGTATTTTCTGAGTAACTTAAGTATCAGCTACGCTTCCAAAGCTTCTTGTATTAGTCGTTTAAATTTAATTTTACCTGTTTCCGTAAATATTCTTGACCCCATTCCATAGACTTTTTACGTTCATTCATTGTACATTCCTTTCCTATCCAAACAAAAAGGCCTCCACCAACAGCATCAACAATAAAAGCATCCTTTTATGAGATATTAATCTTTTATTTAACTAATTAATTACTTTAGAATCCAAATCTGTAAAACACAACCCTCCTTGTTTTTTCTGAGTTATTTCCAATTTTCCAGAAGAATCGGATACTCTATAAAAATTATTTTACATTAAATCTCCTTTCTCTCTCTTTACAAACTTCCACAAAGTAATATTCTGCCTATTTTCACGCCAATAATCATCATCATCCCCTCCAGCTTTTGGTGCTTTTATCCATTCTATATTTTTAACGCCTCCAAAATGACTCCAAAATCTGTCATTTATATTCCAATCTTGATCTAATATTAATTAATTTTTTGTTAAAATTTTAATTATAAAATTATAAAAATAGTATGTTTAAAGAATATGCTAACTAATTAGAGATATTCATGAAGAAAGAGTTTAGCAAAAGTTTAGCCACCGGGCAAGATTCGAACCCTTTTAGATCATGTATTTTAGATCATGTAACCATTGTAGTTGAGCTTCTCTTTTATCCTTTTAGATCATGTAACCCACGACTAAGCGTTTTAATTGCTCTAGGTGAATATCCTTACAATGAAATGAGAGACTAAAAAACAGTGAGTGTACTATTTTACAATACTTTTAGATCCCGTTCTTAATTCACATCTTATACATATATTACAATATTTTTATCAAAATTTGTGCAAATTTTTAGCTTTTTTGGTAAATATTTTGTAATTGGTTGTGAATAAATTGGTTGACATAATTTATGTTTAATTTATTTACCCAATATATGAATTTTAGGTCGACCAGCACGTTCTTTATCTTTTATGCTTTTTGCTTGCTGAAAAATTTTAAGAATATTTTCAGCAAATTTTTCGAATAATAAAATTAATAATTACAGTATTTCCTCTAAATGAAGCCCCGGGGCATCTTATTAGAGGGGCATTCAATTAGAGAAACTATTTTTTCATTAAATAAAAGTTTATTTACATGCATTCCTTTTAAACGCTCCAATCTTCCACTCTGTGGAGGCATCCAAACATAAATATCTAAACCCAAATCAAGAATAAATACATCCCCACGATTAAGTGATTCTTTTACACATTTTACTTGAGTACATCTAACATTCCTCTTCCCTTTACATTGAAATAATTTTGGTGTCCACTTATCATAAGCATCTACAACGTGTTTAAATCCTGTAGAAACACCTCCTTCCAAATATCTAATTAATTAAAAAATTTGATAATTTTTTTGAATTATAAAAAATTCCTTAAATTATTGTGAGTAACAATTTAGCATTTTAATTTTCTTTCTCTTTACTTAGTTTATTGCTTCAAATGAAATTTTGAAACACGCCAACGTACCGCGAGCCCAACGTACCGCAGAGCTATAACTTTGTTCAAAATGGTCGAATCCGGGATGCCCTGATATGGTTCGATTTAGCTCGTCAAGATGCAACGAAACATACTAAGGCGTCCCGGATTCAACTATTTTGAACGAAGTTATAGCTCTTCGGTACGTTGGCCTGCTCCCAAGGGGGATTAGCGCAATCTCAGAAATAAAATAAATTGAAATTAAAAAAATATTTTACTTAATTCCATCCTTGAAGTAACTGAGAAATAAGGCACTTTCATGGTCTTGCAACTGTTTATGAAAATTTTGAGTTTTAGGACATTAGAATTATTAATTGGAGGGGGATATTTTTATTTTGTTACCTCTCTATATTGAACAGGCAATCCATTCAATGAATCGTCCAATTCAACAGTTTTAATTGCTGCAGTGCCCATTTCATCTTGAGAAGTATTTCTTCCTAACCAGAAATGAACGTCCCATTCTCCAACATTTTTAGTCTTTATTTTAAAATTATTTTAATTAAAAAATTAATCAAAAATACATTTAAAATAATATAAGAATCTCCACTATAAAAATTGCCATATTGCTCTTTTGGCATGTCTTCTAAAGCAAATTTCTGTTAAAAAGTGTTTTCTATTATTTAAAATAATAATAATTTAACATTAATTCTCCAAATTTGTAACCCTCGTTGTTGTCCAATCCCTTTCAATTTTGGGTCAACTGCAACCATTCTAATATATTTATTTTTTAATAGAAATTAAAAATCTGAAATGGGGGTAGTTTGATCCAAATTATAATATATCTGAGATGTCTCGAGGGATAAAGATTTTTTTGGAATTTGAAAGTTCGGATAATTATGTATAAAATTAAAGTTTGACTTCAGATATAGAGAAGGAACCAAAACTACACTAAACTACACACAAGAATTGAAAAAATGGCTTTTTACAAAGGGATTTTTTAAAATTCGATTTAATTAAACTTTCCAAAATAAGTGGCAAAAAACATTCAAAATAGGTTTGATTAGCTCTCTCCTTTTCTTGAGGACTTAAAAAGGACGAACTTTCTTTTCCTCTCACACAAGTCCTACGCTTAATATTTTTTCCTAATAATCTTATTTATAAGAACAAGATTTGCATCGGGATCCGATGCAAATCTTCTGTCAGGATTAATCAAAAAATAATCTCAATACAAAAACACAAAAACTTTAATTCCCCATTCGATTGGAAAGTTTATTAGTTAAAATAATTTAAGGAATTAAAATTTAAACTGATCAACTAAAAATAAAAATATTTAATTCAACAAAGATTTATTATTTCTTAGGTTTTGTTGCTAGTTTTTATTTATTCTATTTTATTACTTTAAACTTTTGTGGGCGTAAAACATATTTTATTTTTAAAAATCTGTTGTTTTGATTTTTGGTTTAAAACTTTTTAAATGTGTATTTTCTTTTAAAACAAAACAGGTGGTATTTATTAAAAGTCCTCGAATTTATTTTTAAACATCTTGATATAAAATAAATTTTGAAAATCGAGAAACATTTCTTTTTTAATGTACATTTTATTTTTAAATTTTAATTGGAATTTAAAAATAAGAACAGATGGTTTTAAATTCAAAATTTTTAATAATAGACCATCTAAAATAATTGCTGAAAATTCTGGGCCCTAAAGTTAGACTTTATGATAGTTTAGTAGGTTGTATACGTGCAGTTTTTGATTAATGTCAGGGCTCAAGTCTCAATAAAAAAAGTTTTTGAAAAATTTATTAAAAATAGAGAAGATTCCGGCAAAATTATCTGAAGAAGGGAAGGGATTGCAAGGAGCAAGAATTGCTATCGACAATATACAGAGGGACCAGAAAGAAATGGGGCAGAGAATATAATCGAAAAATAGAAGCAAAAAAAACAAAATTTACTGTATGTATACTTTTGAAACAAAAAATTTTTAGAAAAAAGAGAAAAATTTGGCTTCTTAGTCTTCGAAAATTCTCAAAATTTTCGCCAGCGGCACTAGAAAAAGAAATCATAATCATTGGATTTTTGCCATATTTTTTTATTATTTTGCAGAAATTCACCCTGGCTTGGAGAAGAGTCTTCTTCTTGAAACTCAGGAAAACTGGTTTTTATGTGAAGAGAAAACTCTAAAATTTTATTCTTATTCCTCGATAATAAAGGGTCACATAGACAAATCAGTCTCCTAAATAATAATTTTCTTTTAGATTTTTTTTCATAATTATAATTATGTTTTACTTAAAAATTTTATTAAAAGTGATGAAAAGTAACATAAACAGCATATGCTAATAGTGTTATTTTACTCCTCACACTCTTTACACGCCAGATTGAGTAAAAGGCCAAAAATGCGGCACGCGAAACTAATGATGATGCGCTTCCTCCAACATTATTTTTTTAGTTTTTGTTGGTGTAAGTTAGTGACAAACATTTTGTGTGTATATATCTTTTTATAAATAGTGGAAAAAAGGATATATAGAGGAGGAATTGATTCAAAAAAATGTTTTTGGAAGGAATATGAAGGAAGAAGATTTATTTATTTTGAAAGAAAATATAGTACTCTAACAAGTTTTGTTTCTTTTTTAGAAAAATGCCAAAATTGCCAATTTTTTATGTTCCTTTTACACTTTTTTATAAAGGAAATGGATATCTATTTAAAATTTTAAGAAACATTTATTATTATATTTTAATTATGTAAAGGCTTTAATTGGGGATGATCGAGACGGGATTTGTTTTAAAAAATAAGTTATCGAAACTGAGATAGAAATCCTCAAGCTTCAAGTTTCTATTTTGAACTTATCTTTAAGATGTAAAGTAATTAGGGTTGCCGTTTTCGGTTCGAGCCGACGTTCGGTGCATTTTTTTCGAGCTTGGGTTTTTTCGATTCGGTTCGTCTTCGAGCCTTTCGAGCTAGGCTCGCTCCAAAGCCTAGGCTCGCTCCATCTTTCGGATTTCGGGGCGAGCGAGCTGGCGACCCTAAAAGTAATTGTGCTATGTATAAGACAAATATAATTCCATCCATTCTTTCATTTTCTGATTCTCTCTAAAAATAATTTTGTAAATATTTACACTTAGAAAATTATTTATTTTTTTAATATAGATTTATTTATTTAAATAATGTTTGTGCCTGCAGCCAGCCGTTCAGCTGCATTTTTTAATGCCAAAAGGCGCCGTTCTTCTAATAATTGCGGTCCTAATTCTTCAAAACCTAAACGTATAGAAATTTAAAAATTTAAATTGTTTTCCTATTAGACCTCAATAAATATAAGAAAACACACATTTGCACCTGATAATTTAAAGTATTTTATCTGCATAATTAAGTATTAATATTTATAAAAAAATATATATTATTATTTTTCCTTAAATGGAGTAACACTTAGCCTCTCCCCCTCACTCTTAACCACAATCCGGCAGTAGACTCGAGGCATATCTAATTTTCGTCATCTAAATTCAGGCTAAAACTTTATAATTAATTTTATTGAAAAATTTTTTAGTCTGAAAAATAAATATTTATTTTTAAAAATCAAATATATAAGAACCAAAAATAAATTTCTAGAAAATATTTTTATTTTTGTCGGAAATTTAAATTTACATTTTTTCTATAAATTGTTTTGGTTCTCTTAAAATTTTTTTTCTAAACATGCTTCAAATGTAGAAGAAAATAGTAAAATATTTTGTGTTTTTTATATTTTTTATATTTGCACTAGTTAACAGTTCTTAAAATCTTTGGATATCCAGAATCGGATTGAAGAACCAAACTTAAAAATCCTAAATTGTTTGCTTTGATTCATTTTCGTTCCAAACCGGCAACCCTAATACTTACAATTAGCTAGCTAAAACAAATTTAAGAAAGAGTTTGCAAAAGTTTAGTCACCGGGCATGATTCGAACCTGCGACCACCTGCTAGTTATTGCAAGGCGCTTTCGCTCACCATATGCAGGTCGAACTAATCCTTACATCTAGTTCGATTTATTTCTAACCCGGACTTGTTCCATCAACGTTCCTTTCTTTAACAAAGATTATTCACAGAACTAAGCCTTTTCATAATATTTTCCTTGCATCTGTAAATTCGAAAATATCTACCTAAAGCGTTGGAAATTTCAGTCTTATTTAATTCAATGTTCCTTTATAAGGAAATAATTTTATTTTTCATTTAAATTAATTCTTTTTATTCAATTAAATTTCCAAAAAAAACAAAATAAATTCTAAAAATAAAAAATATTTAATTTTGTTTTTCCTAAATTTAATTTTATTAAAATTTGCCAGGTGGCACAGCAATTCTTATCTCTTCAGCATTAAGTAATGGTGGCACTCTAACATCAACGACAACATCGATGGTTGGGGGTGGAAGTAAAAATGCAATTGCTTATTTAAAAGGGAAAAAACAACAAAAAAGTAAATGGAGAGGAGCAGGGGGAAACAATGAAGGCGTGAAATCATCCCCTTCAATTGCCGGCGTTTCTTCTGTTAATACTTTATTGTTAAATAAAAGGCATCCTATTAAACAAAAAAGAAGGTTATCTCAACACAGATTAAGCTTTGGAATGAATGGATTAAATGAAGATAATGTTAGGGAATTGCAAGGTAAAAGGGGGGATGGAGAAACTAAAAGAGTGTTTTTGGTTGTTTTTAGAGATTAAAATTAGTGAAAAAATTAGTTTTTAATTTTGTTTTTATTTAAAATATTCCTTAAATCCGTAAAGAATTGAATTTTAAGAATATAGATTTAAATTTAATTTCCTAATATAATTTCTCATCTAATTATTTCTCAAAAGTTCATAAAAATTAGAGTAATTTCTTAGGTTATAAGATTAATTGGTGATATAAAGATTAAACCTTTCGTCTTTAATTTTCGGTTTTAGTTTAATCGGATTAGAACCGGCAACGCTTAACTCGGGATAAGCGTTGCCAGTTTCTTCTATACCTTAAAATCTTCGGCTTTCGGTTCGGTTTGAGAATACAACCTTACTCTGATAACACTCTTAAAAAATAAACCGAATCCGAGTTCTGGCAGGTTTCTACTCAATTTAAAAGTTGAGGATTAAAGTAGATATTTTTCTTAAATTTAAATCTAAAATAATTTCCAGGCAATCAAACACCAATAGACTTCCCTTCCATAGTTTTACAATTAACTTCAGCCGGTAAAAAAGAGAATCGTTGCGATAGTATCGTAACAAATACAAGTATTATCTCCCATTCACAACTTCCTTTTGGCCGATCACTGGCCTCTACAATTACAACAACGGCGGAACCTTTTGAAGCTGTTGCCAGTTGGGGGGCTAGAAGGAGGTATTTTAAATCAGTTATGTCCTGGTTTTAAGAAATTCCGTCAAATCCAAAAAAAATCCGAAGGATCCTGGTCGGTTCTGCGGTTCATATTCCCGATCGTTTTCAAATTTCTATTCACATTTCCTGAAACCACCGGAACAAGTACAATGCTTTTTTAAATAAAAATCGAAATTTCGAAGCACTATTTATCTACATACCTATTATTTCTTCTCTTAATTTTAATTTATTTTTTATTTAAAATTCTCTTCAAATAAAAAAAACCTTTTTATTTATTTATTTACTAATTTTATTTATTTTAAGTAAATTAAGCTTTGTTGCTTATTTTCTTTTTTTTGTACTGAATTCTGGCGCTAGGACGACCCAAATCCGATTAGCACTTTTCCCCCAAAAAATTTTTTATTTTATTTTTTATTATTTGCCTCTTTCAATTGCTTCCTTTTTTTCTTTTTGGCTTTTCACTAAATTTTTATTTAAAAATATATTTTTATTTATTTAACATTTTTTAATTAAAAATTGTAGCTAAAATATATTTTATTTTAAATTTTTTGGAATGGATGCTCTAATTAAAGCCCGGCTCTATTATAAGCCTATATATAATATACATTCATCTTAATCCACCCAAATCCCTCCACATCTTAATTACTCAAAATCAGCCGATATTTCGAACTAATTGTGATATAAAAAGGTTCCCCTAAAGATTAACTAGAAACTAGTATGGTCTTCAATCTTGACTAAATATACATTTTTTGTTCTTTTGGTTTTGATCCTGAAGTAAAGTATTGCCCTCGAGTCTTTTTAAATTTCAGGGATTGGGCATCTCTACATATTAGATACTTAATTCAATTTTTTCAATCATCTCTACTCTCGTCAGGTCATAGCAGTCAAATCATCAGTTTTACTAGTATTATTTGTAAATTACCTCTATTCTATCTCTCTGTCTCTCGTTTAAACCCTTATCGCCTTATTTTTTCCAATTTTCTTTTATCAAAATTTAATTTATTTTTTATGATATTTTAATATATATTCGTGTAATTTGATGCCAATTTGTTACAAAAATAAATTTCTGTAATAGGATATGTAAAAAAATATTTTTTCCTTTATTAGAGCTTTAGTTTTATTTTTTACATAAAAATATTATTTTTAAAATTCCTTATTTCTCTTAATTTTTTTAAAGTTTAATAGGTACATTAGCCAAATTTTAAGAAATTAATTTATTATTTAAAACTTATTTACTAGTTTTTTTAAAATAATTTTTTCTTTCTTTTTCAAAAACATTCACTCAACCATTCATTAATTCATTCATTTTTTATTTCTTTCATCAGGGGTATTTTTATTATCAGGAAAAATCAGAATTTTTCCATTTTATTAAACTTTAAAAACTTTAATTTTTCATTTATTCATTTAAAATTCCCGATTAAAAAATAATTTTTAAATTCCTCTTTTTTAAAGAATTATTATTCTATTTCTAAAATTTCTAAAAAAAATTTTATTAAATAAAAATGTTTATATTTCACTAAATTGAAAATCTAAAAATTTTGGCAGAATCCTTCCAAACACCATTTATGTAGTCTTGTAACTTTATTAGTTTTTTTGTGTTTTGTTTTTAGGTTAAGGTTCTTTCTGTTAAGTTAGGAAAATTATCAGCTTTACACATTACAAATTATTAATATGGTTGTCGGATCCTGATCCGAAAAAGGTTGAATATTGTAAAATTTCGGTTTGACTATCGGACCCGGATATCCAAAGAATTCAAACTATCTGACAACCTTATTTAATTAATACGTATTTTATTCCCAATTTATTTTAACATTTTAATAGACCATGAGATTTCAAGTTCCAATTTCAAGTTCAATTCAAACTCATTTTTAGGGACCATACATTGGCATTCTATAAATTTCGAATAAATTAACCAATTTTAAAAAATTTTAGAACCCCCCCCCCCTACTCTATAACTAACCAAAATATAATATATTTAGCTAATAATTTTAAAAATAACCTTTTCTCCCTCTCTCAATTGCGTGCTTATTTTTATTATTTTATCCTTTTTTTTCTTGTTTTTCCCATTTACTCTTTTATGCAAATGGAGTGCTTACATGTCATCTTATAATGAAAAATAACTACATAAATATTTAAGAAATATTCTCCAAAAACAAAAAATTAATTTTGTTTTTTGCAAATATTTATTTTTTGTGTGTTAATAATTTTTTTTACATAAATAAATGTTAAATTTAATTTTTGATTTGTGATAGAAATATTTAATTAATATGTATATCAAAATGTTTTCTCACTTTCAAAAAACTTTTCCAAAATTTCCATCTTTTCTGTAGACCAGAAATAATTTTAAATCCTAATTAGGGTTGAGGTCTTCGAGTCGGACCGACTTCGAGTCATTTTTTCGGGCCTCATTTTTATCGGACCGTACAGACCGAGTCTTTTTCGGTCTAGAATTCGATGCCCAACTCGATTTTTCGGACCGGATTCCAACTCTAATCCTAATAACTGCATTTCAATTAATAAATAAATAGATGCATCAATTACTTATTCGACTTTCTAATAATTTTTTATTCCATAATCCCCGCGTTCTATAATTTTATTAAAATTTAAACAGAAAAATCCCTATAGATAAAACGTCCAAAATATCCAATTTATATTTATTAATTGCTCGTTATAATAATTTTCGTTAACAAGTAGAAGGTTGTCGGTTTTACCTAATTTTTTACTTATTGTTAGCCTAAAAATCACTTTTTTTCAGCCGACAATCCTCTATGTACATATTCTCATCACCTTAATTAAATAATTTTACTTTAATTTTTATTTTTTATTTAAATTTATATACATATGTATTTATTTTATTTTCAGGGCAGTAGATATTTCTGCACATAAAGCTTGTGCTCTTCTTATGGCTCGAATGAAGGAGCGCGAAGGTTGTCCTACACCTATGTAAGTTTAATTATTTTTAAATTATTATTAATTTTTAATTAATTATAATTATAATTAATTATAATTAATTTAAATAAATTTTTATACAAAGTTCAAATAAATAAAATTAAAAAATAAATACTACTAATAAACTATTTTAATAATAATAAAATAAATATTACTTTAAAAAAATTTACTAAAAATTTTAATTAAAACAAATCAAAAAATTAAAAATAGACTAATATTTAAAAATAATATGAATGCTTAGCTTAATACCGAATACCGAAAGCTTAATACCGAAAGTATCTTTTAAGCCGAGAGTATACATATAATAATTATATCAGTCGCAATTAATAGAAAAACATTCCTTGAAAGTTTGACCCTGTTTTGTAAGCACTTGCCGAACGGAAATTGCTTTGTCTGAACCACCCTCTAATAGAATGCCACCTTTGAAGGTGATTGAAAAATAGAATGCCATGGCATTCTAATAGAGGAAATACGTTATGTTTGTGAGGGAAGTGCCTCCATAGATTAGTTTAACGAACCATGATCCATTAGAATTTCGCTTTAGACTAATTTTGTTGAAATTAACGAAATTACGAATAATTTTGATTGGAGGTAGGAGTTAAATAATTATAGTTAGAGACTTTCGGTTTTACTTTACATTAGTTAAAAATTTAGATTTAGTTAATTGTTGATAAAAATTATAAAAAAATCCTTTTCTTTCGAATCTCCTTTCATTTCTCTTTAGTTTCTTACCTTCTTTATTCTTCTTCATTAAATTTAAAATCCTCTTTAAAAAAAGGTTTTAAATTAGTATAATTATCAATATCATAATCGTCATGATCAAACTCTTCGACCATCTCCAATTTTATATAATCATTCAAATCCTCATAATAATCAATTACATAAATCCTTATGCCTTCTCTTAACTGAGTTAAGAAGTCAATTTCGTTTTGATTTTTATAATCTATGAACTTTTCCGAGAAACATTTAATTTTATTTTCTTCATTAATTTTAATATAAAAATGTAATTCCATTTTTGGTTCCTTCCAAATATTTGAAGACATTACTCTAATTTTATATTTTCCCGAATGTTCAAATTTCAAACAAATATTTATATACGAAATTCCCTCCAATTCTGATTGTCGATGTTTTTCATTAATTACAGAATTGTCAATAAAATTGTTTTCCCCTAATAATTTCTCCCCTTTTTCGATAAATTTTTTATTTTTGATTAATTTTCTAGGTCCTTCTGGATTAAGAAAACAATTTATTTTTATCAATTTATGGAGTCCACCTCCATGACCAAAATGTGTATCTATTCCGTTTATATTCACTTCTTTCTTTTGAAAACTTAAAAGATTATATAGTTCATTATTTACTTCAAAATCTATTTTAGCGTAGAAGAGTGGAAAAATTGTCAAAAGTGTCTAAAAATAAAGAAATAAAAATTTTAGCTTAATTTATTATGTAGGAATCTCCTATACCTCTCCTATACGATCATTTAATCCACAAATAAGAATTCCATCAGTATAATACTCTAACAATAAGTAATTTTTTTCAATTGTCATTTGTTTTTTTCCATTTTCACCAATAATTGCATTATTTGTGTTATATACTTTACTCCATCCTTGCTCATTGCAAGGATCTATAAATGGTGAAATATAAAAAGTAAAATTTTTTATTTCATTTATTTCTATAACAATTTCTGTAACATATTGCTGCTGATCTTCATCTAAATTCAAATCCAATTTAAATTTTTTCAATTCCAATTTTGTCAATTTAATTAAAGGATAATTAATATTGGAGCCAAATAAGCGGAAAAATTTTTGTTTAGATTCCACTAGTAATCGTTGATCACGGTGAATAATACAAGAGGAATATTGAAAAATTAAAAGGAAAAAGTTTAAAAATAATAAAATTTTTAAATACGGCATTGCCTCAGTTTTTAATTAAATTTTTTAATTTTTAATTAGTTTTTAATTTAGTTTTTAATTAAATTTTTTAATTAAAAATTTTTACATTACTACATTATGAAATTAAAAGGGCATTCACGAGAAAATAAAATAAAAGGGCATTCACGAGAAATAATTATTTTTCTTTTAATTATAACATTATGAAATAATTTTTTTCAAAGGTTTCCCCCCCCCCCCTCATGGCGAATGAAAAAAGCACTAACAATAAATCCTTACTTTTTTATTGTTGATAATAATTAGTGACCGGGGCCGGACCGGATCCGGCCGGATTTTTCGCGAGTCCGGGTCCCAAATCCGGATTTTTTTGAAATTTCCGGATTAAAACCGGACCGGATTAATCCGGGAAAATCCGTCCGGATCCGGTCCGGCTCAAGTTGCAAATCCGGAATCCGGGTCCGGTTCCGGAAAAATTGATTTTACCGGTCACTAATAATAATTAAAATAAAATTAACATTTTTAAATTAAATTTTAACTTTTATAATACCGTATTTTCTCTTATTGTGCGACTCTATTAGATCCAAAATTCTCAAATTTTTCGCTTGCGGCGTAGAGAGAGAAGGAATTTATTTGAAAAAATAAAGAGTTGGGTTTCCAGTATTGAAAAATAAACCTACTGTCTCTCCTAGACCGACCCCTTCTAATAAACCGACCCTCTAGAGAATGGTTGTTAAATAAACCGACCGGACGCACTATTAGAAGAAATGTGAGAAGATGCGTCCTAAAAATAGTACAAGAGATTCCTTTTAAAGTAATATTTTCTTGTTCCAATTATTTTTCCTTTTAAAGGAAAAATTAATATTTTTGGCTGTTCCTCCAAACAGTTCACTAGTAAACACAAAAAAGATATCTAAATTTTTATCTAAGAATATTGAGAATAATTTCATCATATGTGGTGATATAACTATTCCAAACATTAATTGGGAAGATTATTCATTTAATTGTCAAAAAGGCAAACTATTATTAGATTTTGGCTTTCAGAGAGGAATTCCACTCAAAAGAGTTTACAAGACTTGGTTCTACTCTAGATTTAATTTCTCATCCCCAACTGATTTAATATATAAAAAAGATTTATAGAAGGCAATTAACTGATAATAATTTCACAATTCTAAATAAAATATATACTGGATTTAAATGGGCTGAACGACTCTCCTTTTACTTTGCTGTTAACTCTAAATACAATGCTGTTAGTGATTCAATTTTAGATTTTTCAATTTGTAATACCCTTAAAAACATTAAATAATACTACATATAAAAGAAAATTATCCAAAAAGAATAACTGATTTATCAAGAAACAAGCTTAAATTATATAAAAAATCTAAAAAGGATCCATATAACAATGGAATCCAGCTAAATTATAAAATAATATCAAGATGTTAAGAAAATTGACAAGAAAATATTACACTGGAAAGGAAAGAAAAATTGTATCTAAAGGCAAATCTTCAGTTTATAAATATTTTAAAAATAAGTTAAACTCAATAATACATATACCAAGAATTTTTGATAAAAATGGAAATATATTTTTGTCAGATAATGCTAAATGTAATGCTATGGACATATCCTTTCAGAAAGCATTTATTAGGAGAAATACAGAACTATATATAAAATACAGAACTATAGCATCAAATTTTATTAAATCAGATGATTGTGAAAAAATATCAGCACTAAGATATTTTAACACCTTCCTACTTCTTGTAGGGCAATCAATTTAAATTTAAACTTCTAAATTCTAACTTAAATTTCAAATATTTCAAACTCCAACTTTCCAAATCTATTTTTATCTATTTATTTATTTCCAGAGAAAAATATTTATTAATGTTTAGGAAGAAGCGAAAAAACTAGAAAAGGCGAAAGGAGTGAAAAAAGTGAAAAACTGAATATTTTCTTTAAAATTCTTTTCTTTTATTTGGCTAAATGATTCATCATTTTTAAATTTATATTTTAAATATTCTTTATTTTTAAATTCTCGTCATCTTTGATGACACTGCGCCTCAAGAAAAAGTGGACCCATCACTATGGTTAACAAGAAGTCGAGCCAGGGCCCAGAGTAGTTGTGCTACTAATTCGTTGTTACTACGATTGCCCAAATTACGTAGTTCTATTGCTGTGCCTTGAAGAGAATTAGCATTTCTATTTGTTGAATTTCTATTTGTATGTGGTGATGGTGGAATTGCTGCAGTATTTACTTGTTGAGAGCAATTTTTTGCCAAATGGCCAATATTTAAACAATTAAAACAGCGGCGACGATTTCTTATTACGCCTCCGGCGTTTCTTCTTAAATCTTGTCTAATATTATGATGTTGTTGTCCCATTGGAATTGAAAGTTGTGGAGCATTAAAGTGACCTTGATATATTGGCTGTGATGTGGATTGATTTTGCTGGATTTGATAATCAGGTAATTGTTGGTATACGTTTTGTTGGGTAGTTAACAAATTAGAATTATTAGAAGTAACAGAATTAAATAAAGGATTTGAAGAAGTAGATGGTTTTTTAATTAAATCTTGAACAATTGCTTCAATTTGAGAACGCATTTGCTCGTCGGACAAGGTTGCACTAACTAAACCTTGATTTACATTATTTGTTCTACTTAATAAAACGGAACCTGCTTTAGCACTCTCACGTTCTTCATTATCATTATCTATGTATTTGTCCCAAATTTCAGATTCATCTAATGGGCCATCTTTTTCCGGTATTGCTTTAGCTACTCCAATAATAAGTAAAAACATGAGCATTCCAATACCAGTCATTTTGAAACGTAAATTGAATTTCACTTCTATATTAGCTACTTCACGACCATGCACATCAAAGTGCTTTTCTGGTCGTACAACGGCTCGTGCATTAGCTTTCTTTCCCTTAAAATATTCAAATTTTAACTCTTCGATTATTCCCTCGGGTATTTCCAAATCAGCAACGATTCCTTTTACCGTGCCACTTTCTTCACCCGGTGCCTCGGCCTGGACTTCAAACCAAGGTAATTCTTCTACGACCCTCGGGTAATAATTGTCCTCTTCTTCAGCTTTATTTTCCTCAATAAAAATACTAGAGTAGGGAAAGAATTCACTTGTTTCCCGAACGTTATCTTCACGGAGGATTCCCGGACCTACTATTGTGTCCCCATCCTCATCCTCCGTTAGATAATCTTTTAATTCTTCAAAAGTCTGGGTACAACTTCCAGACCACCAGGACTTTTTCATGCCTGAGGGGACCACGGCCTCCTCAGGTTTATCACAAACTATTGCCCAATTCTTTTGGATGGTTACAAAAAGCCAATTACTAATCTCAAGTGGGCCGTTACCCCAGGCTTTTATCCACCCTCCATTATTTTCTACCTCGATTAAAGCTCGCTCTAGGCGTTTACGATCAAATGGTGAAGAATGTATACGCCAAATTGCCAATTCTTCTCTACAATCAAATAATTCAGAAGCGAATTTAGCTAAAGAAATTATAGACATTTTTGGTGAATATTTTTGTTTAAAATTATTTGAGAATGAGCTTCTTCTCATTTTTTCGTTTATTATAAAGAGAATTTGGCTATCAATTTGAATCATTATTTCCCTCCTACTTTCTATTCTCGAGAGGAGTCGGTCATATCTTTTTGCCAAAAGGCGGTGTTCTTTTCTTTCCGCCATTGTATAATGCGGCCCTCCCGCCAAAGAAATGATTAATAATATTGTAACAATCAATCTATATGCTTTGAAGAAAGGACTATACTTTAAAAATAATTTTATAGCGATAAAGATCGAGAAAAGTACTATAAGGCATATGCCAATAATTTTGAGATTTAATAACTCCCATAAGATTCCGTTCATATCAATAAGTTGGATATTAGAAATATCGAAAATACTATCTTTTTCTAAAATTTTTACATCTCCATTTTTTATAATTAATTTATTCTTTTCTGGAAGAATGAATTCAAGTGTACCAGTAAGTGTAAAATTAGTTATGCCTGCCGGGCATTCTACGTTACAATTCTCGTTTATTAGTGCTTTGTTAAACGATAAGGCTACCGTTTGATTTATGCCTTTAGCTGAGCATTTTCCTGTGAAAACATTACCACTCTCGCATTTAATCTCGGCTAAAGGATTGCCAAAATCTGATTTACAGGTGAATTTAAATGCGGCGCCTAAACAGTTATAACAGCCCATCAACTTAATTGGTGTTATATGACACATAGAAATATCCATATTTGCTGCGATACTCCAATTCTCCATTCGAAGCATAAGCTGAACTGGAAGATAACTTGATTCACTAAAGATTTTTCTTCCGTTATTTCTAAGTTTTATTCTTTTAATATCGAGGGGAAGTGCTCTTTTAGGATTTTTCATTATTTCTTCTAGTGATAAATCATTGCACGCACAATCTATTCTTTCTTCCTCGTGATTTAGCCAACATTCGCCACAGGCATTTGAATTTAGTACACACGAAGAAAAATTGTCTGCGTTAATTCCACATTCAAGTGCGGTTTCAAAATTTTCGGTTAGTGCAACACCGTCATCACTTACTAGGAATTTATTATTCAAAATTGGTGCCATTGGCGCAATTAAGTCTACAAGTGTAAATTTTATATTTTTCCAATGGAATGTCATTCCCGGAAATAAAGAAAATTTATTTTTTGTCAGATTTCCATTAAGCATAAGACCAACGTCTAAATCTATTAGATAATCCCATGTCGGACATGATACTAATTCGAATATTTTATCTGATTTTTTAATCGCATATACTTGATAAAAATAACAGGCAGATCCGGGTAATCCACATTGATAGGACCAAAGAGACTGCCCTTCTATACAATATGCATTTCCAGGATTATTTGACCATTCGTTTAATTCGGGTACTTTCTCTTTTCTTCTTATATGTATACAACGACCCGCTTTGCAGCTTCCGTCAGCCGGACAACGTTTTACTGATCCTATCTTTATTTCATATGAACGCAGATGTTTTATAGTTTTTTGATTACATTGGATTGATAAACCGGGCATTGAAAACTCTAATTCTCCCATAAGCATTCCTTTTTCATTCTTAATCGATAATGAAATAACTTGACCGTCAGGAAGCATAGTTAATGTATTAACAGTATTTATCTTACAAGAATAGCTACCAGCTTTCCTCTGACAGTCTTCTGATTTCGCTTGTATCGAAACTACTTCTATCTCACATATAATTGAACCAATGAGTTCGAAAAGTATTAATCCAATTATTCCAAGTTTGTGTAAACGTCTGTTTCTTTTTATTTTCTTACTATACCTTGCACCTGTTTTTGATTTACCAATTAAATTTTTACTCGATTCATGTACTTTAGTCTCTCCCTTTCCTTTAAAAACTCTGAATATTGTTTTTATTATTTTCCAAATAGAATGTGTCAACCATCCGAATATAACAAATAATTTACACAAAAACATTAATAATCCAACTGAAATACTCAAAATAATTCCAGTAAATGTACCAATTAAGATTAAAGTTTCAAAAGATTCACATTGAGGATTTGTAATTCTTTCAAAAAATCCCTCAACTCTTTTACATGGATCAACTGGTGGACAAGTTATTCGGTCTCTATATTTCCTCCATCTGTCCCAAAATGTCACTTGGCATTTATATTCCAGTGGGGTAACATCTTTTGGGAGTGAAAATTTAAGTATATTAATTGAGTTTGTTTCTAGTAAGCAGCTACCCATACAACAAATTTCTATTTTCTTTGTTTCGGGTAATCCAATAACTTTAATTCCATAATCTTTACATATAAGTTTACAACCTCTACAACTCCTTATTGGTCCTCTTTCTTGTGTTAATACTAAAATGAATATTGATAAAAATTGCACGATTTGCAATAAAAGAGCCTTTTTTGATCTTGTTATCATAGGGTGAGGAGTTATGTTTCTATTTGTATTGTCGGTTTGATTATTGATTCTATTTTTAGTTTTTATTTCAACTTTTTCCTTTTCTTTTTCATTATTTTCGTCGTTTGGTTCACTTGTTTCATTCACCTCTAGAGGGAATAATTTATTTATGGGTCTAACTAATTTCTTATTTCCAATTAATATTTTTGCACTTCGAGAGGGTATCCCGTCTAACTCAATTATTTTTCCTAAAGTCCAAGAATTTCTTGGTTGTCCTTCCTGTTGTACTACTACGACTTCTCCGATCGCTGGATCTCTTTTTATAGATGTCCGCGGATTTTGGTGTGTCCATCCTGACTTTTCACGTAAAACTAATAAGTATTCTTTTGACCACCTATTCCAAAACCGTTCTAATGCTTTCCTAAGGGTGTTACATTTTTCTCTCAGTTGGTCTGCTCCACTTAATCTTCCTGTTTTATATTCTTCATCTAAATCTTCTGTTTCTTCGATTAAGTGTGTATTATTATCAATATTGGGTATTATGAAATCTACAGGTTTAAGAACTGAAAATCCTTCACTTTCAGTCGACACATAAGTTAAAGCAGGGCTCTCATCGACAAAATGCCACTCAAAAGTATCAAAATCTTGATAAAAAAGTATATAGGGAGAAAATTTCCAAATTTAAAGTATACTCAAAATTAAATTGGAAAATATTTGTTCGTGCTCAAATCTTTTATATTTCTCTCTTAAATGAATCTTTTCTAATAATTTCTTGCTTCCATTGGGCATTTTGTGCATTTCAACGCATGACATGTCAAAATTCGCTGATACAAGAAATAAAGCCCTGACAGTCTTAACCTCAAGCTTTCGTCCATTTTCAGCGCCGCAGGCGAAAATTTTTTGAAATTTGGAGCCCAAGTAGTCAGATTTCTCCCATTTTCAGCGCCGCAGGCGAAAATTTTTTGAAATTTGGAGCCCAAGAAGCCAGATTTCTTTCTTTTTCAGCGCCGCAGGCGAAAATTTTGATAATTTCGAAGGCCCAAGGCTAAAAAAATTCACTTTTTTGCCCAATCCCTTCCCCAATTTCATTTTCAATCCAAAATGTTGATTTTAAAGTATATACTTTCAATAAAGTATAAATTCAATTTCTTAAGTATGGAGGTCGGTTTCAAAGTATAATACTTTCAAATAAAGCACGAATGAGAGCCCTGAGTTAAAGGCCTAGAATTTATTGCCATTTCTACTTCCTTTATAAATGTCTTTAATTCCTCAACATTTAAAATTGCACAACCAAGTGTCTTTTTAAAGGAATCTTTCACAAGTTTGACCAATCTTTCATATATACCACCTTGCCAAGGAGATAGTGCCGGTATGAATTTCCACTCTATTCCACGATTTATAATAAAATTATTAAATTTATTGTTCTCTGGTTGCTTATCTTGACTCCATTTTCCAACTATTTTTGCATCAATACTCTTGGAAACAACCTTAAATTGATTTGCATTATCCGATATGATTTTTGCGGGTACTCCTCTTTGGGCTATAAATCTACGTAATGCATGTAAGAAGGCTAGAGCTGTTAACTCGAAGGCAATTTCTAAATGTATCGCTCTAGTAGTAAAGCATGTAAACAGAACAATCCAGAATTTCTGTTTATTCCCATCTATTTTACATATCGACGGACCGAGATAATCTATGCCTACAGATTCGAACGGTCTTGATATACATACTCTCTCTTTAGGATGATTTGGCATCTCAGGCAGTGAAAATGTTGGACCAATTATTCTCTGGCATTTTTTACAGCTCTTTACGATAATTTTCGCATCCCTTCTACTACAAGGGGCCCAAAACTTGGTTAAGAATGCTCCAAGAGTTGCATCAACTCCAGAATGTAAGAGTCGTTCGTGTTCATACTTCATGATTAATTTAATAACTGGGCTACCTTTAGGAAGTATTATAGGGTGTTTAAACTCATCATCAGCTTCACAATTATTAATTCTGGACTGTAAGTGTAATATACCATCAGAATCTTTCACTAATTTTATATTATTATTTTTTGAATTTATTAAAGATTTTTGTACCATTCTATAAATTATTTTTTCACTTTCTCTCATATCAGTAACATTAATCGAATTTTCTTTGTCTATTTTCGTTAATATTTCACTAGTAATTTTAATTTTACATCTATTTAACCAATTTTTTGCTATTTTAGAAACACGTGCTATACACCTTATTAATCTGAGCCAGTTACTCCAATCATTTATTTCAATAAAATTTTCATCCTTGAAATTATTAGCGCAAATATTGATTCCTTCCGTTCTTTCCTCTAACTCATTCTCACTTTTCTCTTCATTGATTTGAAAATTAAGTTCATTTGGCCAGTTTTCCTTTGGTCCCTCCAACCAAACAGGGCCATACCACCACTGCTTATTTGATCGTAACTCCAATGGCGTACAGCCTCTAGTCCCTATGTCTGCCGGATTACCTTCAGTAGGAACGTAACCAAATTTTAAATCAATATTAGTTCTTATTTCTTTTATTCGATTTTGTACAAATTTTTCTTTTTCTTGATTGTTTTTTATCCAATAAAGAACTGACTTTGAGTCACACCAAAGGTATTTTTCATTTACTTCTGTTGGATCCTCGGACTTGTTATTTTGAAATTGATTTTCATTTTTTAAACAAATATTCCTTTTTTCTAATTTTTTAATTTGGTTGACATTTATTCAAATATTTTCCATCCTTTCCAATTTTCCCCAACTCAATATTAAACTTTCTTTATATTTAAAATGCCCTTTCCTTTATGTTTAAAAATAACCTTTCCTTTCATAAATATTCTTTGTAGTATTTAAAAATAATCTTTTCCTTTCCCTATCAATTTAAACCTTTCCCATTGGCTCATATTCAAATAATAAATAACTTTGTTTAAACTTTGTTGTAATGCCTTCCCCTTCCTTACCTATCTAAAATATACTTTTTACACAAATCGCCGCCCTTCTTTTCTTGACTATATAAACTCGAATCTCATACATTTACTTAACGTATTGAACGTACCACAACTTAACTAAACTTATTAAACGTATTTTTCTTGAATAAACTTGTTTTAAAGAAAAAGGCTTGAAATTTAATTTGGAAAAGTAACCTGAAAATTCAGAGAAAAATCTAAGCTTAAAACCGGGTCAAACAAGTAAAAAGAGTCGAACACTTTACTGGTGCCAAGACCTTCGGGAAAGAGATTTGGTTTCTAATTGGCCACTAGATAACCATTTCTCTTGCCCAAACAATAAGTTTGGAGTTTTGTTTTGAAAAAAAAAATTTTTTTTAATTTAATTGTGAAATTTTTATTTTTTTGTTCTCTGAAAAAGAAGAAAGGTTTGAGCTGTGTGCGAACCGAACCAGTGCACTTTAAAAATTAAAATTGCCTGAGCTTAGTGCGGGCTTGAAATTGGAAATAAATATTGCCTGGGCTTAGTGCGGGCTTATAAATTGAAGATATACATTGAGCCTTGAGCTGTGTGCGAGGCCGACTTAAAGAAATTTATTGGAAGCCTTGAGCTGTGTGCGAGGCCGAATTAAAGAAATTTATTGGAAGCCTTGAGCTGTGTGCGAGGCCGAATTAAAGAAATTTATTGGAAGCCTTGAGCTGTGTGCGAGGCCAATTTTTGAAAAAAGGAGATAATTTTTAGTTCCTTGAGCTGTGTGCGAGGACTTGAGTATTTGAAGATTTGAAACTGTCCCTTGAGCTTTTTTTTGCTAGGAGATTTGAAAAGAAGCTTCTATTTAAATTTTGTTTACTCATCCCTTTTATTTATTCATTCATTTAAAAGTTTTTATTAAATTTTAATTAAACATCCTTTTTATCCCATTTAATTTAAAATGTCTGGATCGGACTTTGATGATGTCTATTTTTCTGCGACGGAGCGAACAAACTTCCAGTCATTACTTAATCGACTGAGATCTTTTGAGAAAACAGTCGCTCGCTCTTTTCGTCAATTTGAAGAAAGATTAAGTGTAGTAGAAGAAAATGTAAAAACTAACAAAAATGGACTTTCTGGAACAAAAGGATCGGTTACTAAGCTCCGAAATTCTTTAAAAAATATGGAAAATTTTGTTAAAGATAAATTAAACCAAAATATAGATTTTGAGGAAAATCAATCGGAAGACGAACCTGAAAATGATCTAGAAGTGAAGGTTGGGGATCCTTTTCTAAATAATGGGAGTTTTATACCTCATTATGATGGAAATCCGTCCATTTCATTCTCGAAATGGATAGAAAAATTCAAAGACATTCTGACATTATTGACTACTCCATTGACGGAGGCACAAAAACTTGCTCGTTTAAGATTCTGTTTGGATGGTCAAGCAAGGACTTTATATGATTCGATAGATCCCGCTCCAAATTCGTTGGAAGAAGCGATTCAATTTTTGAAAGCTCGCTTTGAAAATGGGAATACCAAAATTATAGCAAGACAGGCCTTGTCTATTTGTAAGCAAGCGCCAGGTGAACCTGTCTTTGATTTTTCAAATCGGCTGAATGAATCAGTTAGAGTTGCTTTAAGTGGAGAAAATGAGGAAACTATTAAAAAGAGGCTTTTAGAAGAATTTCTGGATCGTATTACGCCAGAATTACAATTTCAGGTTAAATCACAAAGGCCTACGGATTACGTCTCAGCTTATGAATTGGCGCAGCACTTTGAGCTTTTGTTGGGAGATAGAAAACGTGCCAACATTAACATTGCGGACCTCGCTGAAAAAGTAGATGCCTTATCAATTGCTAAAAATACACCTGAAGTCATTACTTGTTATAGTTGTAGGCGTCCAGGTCACATAGCACGTAACTGTCCTGAGAATCAAGGGAACCTTAATAAAAACTATAGGAGGAATAATAATTATAATCCGCGAAATAACTATAACGCGAGAAATTATGATAATAGACAGAGATATAATCAAAACAGGCCAAATTACAATCCCAATTACAATGGAGGTCATAGAAACAACTACAGTAATCCGAATTATCGCCAAAACAATTATGAGCAATCTGGAAGTCAGGGACGTAATAACTATAGAAATTATAATAACAATCAATATACCTCAAATTCGAGAGATAGCAGTAGATCTTCCGGCAGTAGACGTGTTAGATTTGGGCGAAGATCGAGTCCGTCTGTTAGAGTTATTAGTCCGCTTCTTCTTGCTTTAATTGCATTATTGTCAGTTTTTAGTGGAACTTTAGCTCATAATCCAATGATTTGCTTAAATGAGGCTCCAAAATCTTTATGGAAGTTTCCGGACGATCCAGTTTGTCCTAATTGGCAGCCAACGGAAGCACCTGTTCCTTTAAGCCTAAATGTATATAGAGCAAATACATTAGAGTACAAAACACCGGCAACCGTTTGTAAATGTGTTAAAAGTAAAATATCGAGAAGACTAGGCTTATTTGGCTCTCAAATGGAAGAAATCACTACAGAAAATGTGAATGTACCAATTTCTGTATGTAATAAAATGAAAGAGTCTAATATATCCCAAGCTGGCAGGTTAGTTCAGAAAAATGGTACATTAAGAGCCACAAATAATAGCTTGGAGGTTGGTTGGAATATCTGGCCCATAGGAATTGCATGGAGTACCACTGAAGTTCAGAACTGTTATGTTTATGAAACAGTTGTTTTTACCCATTTTGGAGTTGATTCTTTAAATACACCAATTGGGAGTTGCCCAGAATGTAATTACAAAGCTGGATCTTGTAAATGTACACAAGGTAGCTTGCTATGGATACCCGATAAGACACAGCAGTGCGCTTTTATACCCATAGCAAATTGGCATGGAGAATTCGCATCTGGGATTTGGATTTCAGAATTTAGTGAATTTGCGCTGACCTTTGAGAATGTCGCAAAAAGGATTGATTGTGGACAAAAGGAGATGATAATATCGGACCAGGGTTATGCCATTTCAAAATATGAATATGAGAAAATTATAAATTTAATAAATAAAAATAATAAAATGCGAAATAAAAGAGAAACATTAAAAGGAAATGATTCACAAACAGATTTAGTTGGAGTAGTGTACACTTCGCAACTTGAATCCCAACTAACAGCATTAAGTGCCAAATTAACGAGAACCACGCAAAAGTTATTTGCAGAATCAGTTAAACAGATTTGTAATGCTTTACAAACGTTGGCTGATCAAATGTTTACTTTAGCTGCCGCTAATCCTACGTTATTGGCGAGAAATTTCTTAACGCTCAATTACATTACAGCAAGGTTAGTAACAGAAAGAACTTTAGAAATTAGTCCTTGTTATCCATTAGAAGATCAGGAACTTCAGTTCAACTGGAAGGAAGGTTTTTGTTTTGAAAAATTACCTGTCTCGTTTAACCTCCATGGTCATGAGAAACATGGATTTTTGGATACAAAGACCCTCATTATTCATTCGAATCCAGGAGATTCAGACTGTGAATTGAATAAAAATATTTATGTTACCTTGAAGAACCGTACAATAATTTTTGACCAAAGTACGGGTGATCAACAAGAGGTATCGGAAAACGGGATTAGAAAAATTGGTAGATTCGGCAAGATTGATTTGCCTGAAATTGAAATTACTATTTTTAAAAATAAGATTTTAACTAACCTTACTGAAATTTATTCACCCGAACACTTTTCGGAGACAATTGAAACAGCTGCTATAACCCATGAGATCACACGATTAACAAGTAAAGGATCGTTATGGCAAAATCCTAGTACGAGAACAGAAGCATTCGCAGCAAATATCGTTGCCAAGGGACTTTTTTCGTTCTTGACTGGAGGGATTTTTTCAATAAATCAAGTTTGGGTATTTATTTGTTGTTGTTATGTAACCCTACAATTTTTAGTCCAATTTATACTCCCAGCCATTTTAGCACAAACTATTGGATATTTAAATGTAGGAGAAAGGATTTTCCAACATGTGTCTAAAAGAAATAGAAATAAAAAAGAACAACGAAATGAAGAAATTACCCTTAATGAATTTAAGAGTAGACCGGGAAAATATGATAAAACTCTACCAATTTTACAAAGATGGCCTTCTCAGGACTTTGAGGAAGAAAAACAAAAGGTCCCCGAATGTAAAAATGCTGAGATTATGATTGCTGGTTTCGAATGCGATGAAAATATGCGTTTATTAGTAGAAATTAATGGAATTAAATTAATATGTCTTTTAGACACAGGCGCTCATGTTACATTAATTGGGCAGAAAACTGCCAGAAGATTAAAAGTGACTGACCTTTATCAACCAGATTTCTCCGGTGTTATTGGCATTGGCAATAATATAATCCCAGCATTAGGTCAAGCTAAAATAAAGTTAAAAATGGCAAATATTGAAATCCAAACAAAAGTAACTGTAGTCAAAGATGAAGTAAATAAAAATGGATCTTATAGTGGAATAATTGGAAGAGAAACGTTAAAAAAGCTCCCGTTTGCTTTAAATTTCATGACTGGAGAATTAATAAATCTTTGTAAACCTGAAGTGTTTCTTCAAGAAAAAGAAAATCGATGCACCTATTCTGCACAAATTAAAGGCATAATTTCAAAAATTGAATTAATAGACCCTCAAGATAAACAAAGATTTACAGAATTCATTTTAAAAAATGAGGAGAATTTTGCGAAAGACGATTTTGATCTAGGTAAGTGTAAAATAACTGCCCCAACAATTTTAACAAATACTGAAATACCGATCCAATCGAGAGCTTTTAGAACGCCTGAAAAATACAGATCTGAACTTAAGGCCCAAATCCAAAAGATGTTGGAGAATGGAATTATTGAGGAAAGTAATACACCATGGGTTAGTAATTTAGTTCTGGTCCAGAAAAGTGACGGAAAATTACGCCCTTGTGTGGATTTTAGGCCATTAAATAAAGTTACTATAGCAGACCCCTACCCATTACCTAGAATGGATGAAGTAATAAATAAGGTTGCTGGAAAACGCTGGTATAGTAGACTTGATCTGGCATCCGGATTCTGGCAAATACCATTAGACCGAGAAAGTTCGTATAAATGTGGAATGATCACAGAATGGGGTTTATACGAAATGAAACGTTTACCGTTTGGCCTGAAAAACGCACCTAGTATATTTCAGAGAGTAATGGATAAAATTTTGAAAGGTATTGATAATGTTACAGCATATATAGACGATATTCTAGTTCATACAAACGATTTTGAGGCCCTTATGAAAACATTGGAGATTGTATTAGATAGAATGAAGAAAAATGGATTTAAACTTAAAGGCGAAAAATGTGAATTCTTACAAACTAAATGTACATATTTAGGGCTAGAATTAAATAAAAATGGATATCAGCCTGCTCATAGTAATTGTGAAGTAATTAAGCAATTCCCAGAACCAAGAGATATAAAGGAAGTAAAAAGATTTCTTGGGATGACTTCCTTTTTCCGCAAATTCATACCGAATTTTGCAACCTTGGCAAACCCTTTAAACAAACTTACAAGAGGCAGAAATCCTACATTTAGTTGGACTGAGATCGAGGCTAAAGCTTTCAATGAATTAAAAAATAAACTTAAAGAGTCGCCTTGTTTACAACCTCCTAATTTTGAAAAATCGTTCCATTTATTTTGCGATGCTTCAAATATCGCTTATGGAGCAGCTTTAATGCAAAGTAAAGACGAAATAAACTTACATGCGGTTAGTTATTGGTCGAGGACATTAGCAGAATCTGAAAGGAAATTACCCGCTACGCACGGAGAATTAGCGTCAATCTATAATGCGGTCACTTATTTTAAGCCAATAATTTATGGGTCTAAACTTAAAATCTATACCGACCATAGGCCTATTACATACTTGTTTTCTAAAGCAAGTACGAACGCCAAAATAAACCGCTGGCTTATGGCACTCCAAGATATAGAACCAGAAGTAGTCTATCTTGAGGGCACTGCTAATCGTGTTGCTGATGCTTTATCGCGTGTTTCAATAAGTTGGAATTCAATAAAGGACACTATGCCTAAAGAAGATACCCCTTACTTAATGGTAGCCATAGGTGAGAGAATAAACAGAGAAACCATTGAAAAAGAAACAGAAAAAGATAAAACTTTAGTGAAAATTTACAATGCAATAAAAGACAATTGGAATAATTTTCAAACTGACGATGAAACCCTACCTTATTTCCAAATAAGAGATCAATTATTTTTAGATGGTAAATTAATTAAAAAAGGCGTTGAAAGCCAAATAATAATACCTGAAAATTTAAAATTAATTGTATTAAATTTAATTCATAATGGACATTTTGGTATACTAAGGTGTAAAAGCAAAGCCAGAAAAGTAGTTTGGTGGCCTAATATAAATAGAGAAATTGAAGAATTTATCAAACTTTGCCAAGTTTGTCAAAAATACATAAACGATGAACCAAAACTGAGTTTAAATTATAAATGGCCCGAGGCAAAAGTAGCATTTGAAAGGATACATATTGATCTAGCCGGTCCATTTTTAGGGAAAAATTTCTTAGTAATAATTGATGCTTATTCTAGATTTCCCTTTGTATATCTAATTAAAAATACCAACTCCACCTCAGTTATAAAGAAATTGAGAGCCGTTTTTGGAATGTTTGGACCACCAAATACTATAGTGAGCGATAATGGGAGGCAATTCATCTCATTTGAGATAGAAAACTATTTTGAATCACAAGGCATCAAACACCTAAAATCACCTCCATATCACCCGCCCAGCAATGGATTAGTGGAGAGATTCATTCAGACATTTAAAAATGGTGTTCAAAAACTAATAGATTGTTCATTGCCCCTGGAAAGTGCTATAGAGACAATTTTGATTGAATACAGAGCCTCTCCAAACCAAACATTAAATGGGGAGAGTCCAGCTAAATTGTTTTTAAAAAGAGAAATACGAACCCCATTGGACTTAATAAAAATAAATACACATAAAAATAATCCTTCTTTAAATGAAGAGACAGAAAAAACACAAAATTATTCCCCAAAACAGAAAAAATTTGAATTTAATGCATTAATATGGATAAGAAATTATGGAGACAAACATAAATGGGAGGAGGGAACAGTTAAAGAGCAATGCGGAGAGAACCTATATAAGGTTGAAGTAGATGGTTCAGAACGTATTGCACATACAGACCAAATGAGACTACGCAGGAGCGGTCTCCGAAATAAACCAACCTTTTTAGGTTGAGAAAAATTTCCATTAAATCTCTATGTAAATATCCCCCCCCCATTTATTAATTTTAATTAATTCAATTTATCCCTTTTTTTTGTATAATCAATTTGTTCACTGTTTTCATATAATTATTTTATAGTTCTTTTTTAAACAATACCAATTTGTTTTTAATTGAAAAAATCTTTTCATCATTAAAAATGACTACAATGGAAATCGACCAAGTTTTGGGAAACGACACTGCTATTGGAGAGGGAGGAGCTGGTGGAGGATCTGGTGGTGGACTAAAAACAACAACTAATTCCACTAACAACAAGAAGAAAAACAACAACCTTTTTGAAGTGATTCAAAAAGAGAATGAGGAAATTAAAGAAATTTTTAAAAATACTCACGATTATATTCGTGAAGCCATTGTTAATCAATCTAAGGAAGTTGTAGCAGAGATCCTACAACAAATTAACCCTCGCTTTGAGGAGATTGAAAATAAACTGGAAGAAATTAAAAGTGAGATTAGAAATTTTGCCACCTCAAATGAAGGTGAGGGGGAATCTGAAGCTGGTGGTAATATTGAAGAGGAGCAAGTCGAACAACAACAGCAAAACATTCAACCGCCGCAGCAGCAAAATCAAAACCGCCAAGAGGCGAGAGAGGTTGTTAACGGGCGTGGTAGAGCTCGCGGTAATTCGCGTGCTCGAGATGCTCGTATGTTTTACCTCTTACGTCAATTGGATCGTGAGAGAGGATTTAATGATCGTTATAGCCCATTCCGTGGGAATGGAGGTGGAAATCGTCGTCAACAACGTAACTTCTACCGTGGGTACTAATTTGAAGGAGGGAGGAGTGTTGGATCCTCGGACTTGTTATTTTGAAATTGATTTTCATTTTTTAAACAAATATTCCTTTTTTCTAATTTTTTAATTTGGTTGACATTTATTCAAATATTTTCCATCCTTTCCAATTTTCCCCAACTCAATATTAAACTTTCTTTATATTTAAAATGCCCTTTCCTTTATGTTTAAAAATAACCTTTCCTTTCATAAATATTCTTTGTAGTATTTAAAAATAATCTTTTCCTTTCCCTATCAATTTAAACCTTTCCCATTGGCTCATATTCAAATAATAAATAACTTTGTTTAAACTTTGTTGTAATGCCTTCCCCTTCCTTACCTATCTAAAATATACTTTTTACACAAATCGCCGCCCTTCTTTTCTTGACTATATAAACTCGAATCTCATACATTTACTTAACGTATTGAACGTACCACAACTTAACTAAACTTATTAAACGTATTTTTCTTGAATAAACTTGTTTTAAAGAAAAAGGCTTGAAATTTAATTTGGAAAAGTAACCTGAAAATTCAGAGAAAAATCTAAGCTTAAAACCGGGTCAAACAAGTAAAAAGAGTCGAACACTTTAACTTCAATTCCTATTTGTCTTTCTACAAATTTAATTATTCGTGTTGCAATTACTACGCCTAATAGTTCCATTCTTGGTATACTTATAGGCATTTTCTTTGGCCTTAGCCTGTTTCGAGCATAAACTAAATGGATCATTGTGGTGTCATTATTTCTCGTTAGTACATAAACACAAGCAGCGTAAGCATTCTTAGATGCATCAGAGAATACATGAAGTTGGCATCTGTACCCACATTGAATTATTCTTCTGTCCAATTCAATGTCATGGGTTTCCCAAGCTTTGGTTATATTTATCCATTCCTTAGCGTCTTCTTCACGTAAATTTTCGTCCCATTCTTTTTTACTTTCCCATAACGACTGGAAGAATAATTTTGCTTCTAACAAGCTTGGAGACGCAAAACCGAGTGGATCAAAAATACTTGCTAACTGACAGAGTACATTTCTTTTTGTTATTTTCACGTAATTTATTAGAGGGAATTTTACAATTATTTTATCATTTTTAATATTCCATGGTATTCCCAACACTTTAGGCTCACTTTTTTCTAATCTATCCTCGATGGGAAGCGATGAATTTAACTGTTCGTTATTGGTAATAAATTCTCTTAAATTCATATCTGCCGATTTAAAAATTTCTTTTAAACGAATATAAGCATCCCAACCCTCTTGTTTCGTTTCAACACCAATAAGTAAATTATCAACATAGGCATTCTTCTTTGCTATCTTAGCGACTGGATCATCGACTAATCCCAAATGATGGCTTACTGTCGCAGAAAGAAGGAATGGGCTCGAAATTACTCCAAAGGGAACTTTCGAAAATCTATAGTATTGAATATTTTTCAACGATATTGGCTCTCTAATGTCCTTAACCCAGATAAATTTAACAACTTCTCTATCTTCTGGGTCCAATTCTAAAGCATGAAATGCTTTTTCGATATCCGACCACATCGCTATCTTTGGTATTCGAAAACGTATTAGAAGACCAGCTAGATCTGGCATAATTATAGGACCACGATATAAATGGTCATTTAAACTTTTACCCCCTTTAACTCGGGCTGATGCGTCATAAACTATTCGAATCTTTTTAGGAGTGATAACAGGATGGTGTGGTAGGAAATGTTCGACATTATCCTTATTTCGTTCTGCCAATTCTATCACTCCTCTTTTTTCGTCATCTCTTATTATATTATCATATTTTTCAAATAATTCCGGTGTTTTCTTTAACTTTTCAAATAGACTTAAAAATCTCTTATATGATAATGAAAAATTTGATGCCAAGTTGCTTTTATCGACCTTCCACGGCCATTTGACTATATACCGACCGTGCTCACTTCTTTTAACCGTGTCTTCAAAAAATTTCATAGCAACCTCATCATCTTTATTTCTAGGGTCGTCTCTTACACCTATCGTTTCTAAATTCCAAAAATTATTCATATCCTCTCCCTCTTTCGTTTCCTTTGATCCCAAAATAGCTACCAAATTTTTATTTTGAGATATTTCCTTTTTGTCTTTATTTATAATTTCTCCACATATAATAGGTCCTACAGACGTCTCTACTTTAAATAAATAGTCCGAGAGATGTTTTACTTGATTGAAAAATCTCCAAAAGTGTTTTATGGAAATTAATATATCAGGGACAATTTCTGATGTTTTAATTTCTCCAGTTGTGATATCTGCATATTTTATACTCGGCATTAAATTCTTTTTTATTTTATAAGCAACAATTTCTTCCGTTTCGTCTCTATCTGTTAAAATTTTAACCAAATAACACGCTGTACCTAAACGTGTTGGGTGTTTCTGCATAAACGGGTAAATATTCAAATCTGCCTTATTTATCTTTTTTAAACGCATTTCTTTAATCTTTTCGTCGCTAATAAAATTAACTGTTGAGCCTGAATCAAAAATACCTGTAGCTGAATAAGTTATTGCGTTATCCGCACAAATTTTAAAATCAGCTTTCATCAATAATACCTCATCCTTGCCTCTATTTTCAACAGAAAGTACATTAGCTTTCGTTATATTTTTCTCTCTTGCTTCACTTTTACCCTCATCTTCTCCTTTCCTCTCTTTTTCAACAAGTTTGGGACAAATTATACGATTATGATCCCCATTACAAACATTACATCTAATTTTATTTCTACAATCTATTTTTGCGTGACCCTTTTTCAGACATAATAAGCACCTATTTTGCTCTGAAAGCATTCGCATTCTAGCATGAATATATTTTACCCGCGTACAATTTCCTGCTAAATGCTGATCTTGACAAAAGAGACATCTAAAATTACTTCTATTCTCGTTTCTTTGCTGTCGTTGCCGTGTCTGTAACGAAAATACTCTAGCAGAGTCAAATCTTCTCCCCTGTACACGGTTATTGTTAAAATTTCTTTGGTTACCACCATTAACTTGTATAATCCCGCGATTTTGAACTGATCGCGTATTTAAGTTTTGGGTGCATCGCTGTGCCTCTTCCCTTAATGACACAACATCGGCCAATCCTTGCCTCAGTCTATCGACGTTCCATTCATTTTTCTCACTTTTTTCCATCTTTAGAAGTTCTAAAACGATATTTCTCGGCAATTTATTTTTTATTGCCATAATTACAATTGCCTCATCTTCCAAGTACCCCATAGCTGTCAACGATCTACAAATACGCTCAACTTCCTCTAAGTATGAACGCAAAGATCCTATTGATTCATTAGCTACGGGTAAGCTAATTAGTTCAGCATGTAACGTATCTCTAATTGCCTTTTCGTTCCCAAATTGTCTTATAAGAGCATCTTTCAAAGGTACATAATGCTCTGATATTGGCCTATAGCCCAAAATTGCCCGTTTGGCTTTTCCTCTAAGACACTGGATCAAGTAGTGGGCCTTGAGCCCGTTATCGATATTTAAACAATCCACTGTTCTCTCAAAAGCTTGCCAAAACTCCGGCCATCTGAGAGTATCTCCATAAAATTCCGGAAGTCTAGTCCGCGGAAGATGAGCAGGAAGCATTTGTTCACTTCTAACTGGGACTTCCTCTGCATTTATATTTCGTCGAGCCTGATTTGTCCGATTTAGTCCGACACCTATCTCTTCCGAAATTTCTGATTGCGTACTACGACCGTCAGAACCTTCGGCAAGGACTATTTCTATATCATCAATAGCTTCTCTTCCTGAATCTATCCACTCTAAAAAATGCCTTTCTTCTATGGCATATCTAGAAAAAATAGCTTCTTCGGCACCCCTATCATTTGCCGGTAAATCCTTGATATATTTCTCCCATTTTTCGACTTTTTCTTCTACAAGTGCAATTGCCCTGCGAATTTTCACAATCATTTTTTGGAGCAACTCTACTCCTTCATCAGTACGTTCAGTGGCATCTATCACAGGCCTTACCTCTTCAAGGTATTTTTTCAAACGTACTATTGACGGCGCGATACTGCTTCTTATCGTGCCGGACATTTCACTATCAATTTATTTTATACTAATATATTCTCAATTAATCTCTTTTTTAATACTTTTTTTTTACCGAGCTTTCTCAAACTTAGCTCTTCCAATATGTAAAAAAATTTTTTTTTTTTTACTGAAAAAATTTTTCAAATTGAGCCTTTAGCTCTTTAAACCAATCGTTTTTTTTTTGTGGCACCAAATGTGAAAAAATATCAGCACTAAGATATTTTAACACCTTCCTACTTCTTGTAGGGCAATCAATTTAAATTTAAACTTCTAAATTCTAACTTAAATTTCAAATATTTCAAACTCCAACTTTCCAAATCTATTTTTATCTATTTATTTATTTCCAGAGAAAAATATTTATTAATGTTTAGGAAGAAGCGAAAAAACTAGAAAAGGCGAAAGGAGTGAAAAAAGTGAAAAACTGAATATTTTCTTTAAAATTCTTTTCTTTTATTTGGCTAAATGATTCATCATTTTTAAATTTATATTTTAAATATTCTTTATTTTTAAATTCTCGTCATCTTTGATGACAATGATAAGATTAACGATATTGACTTAATTTATTCGATGTTTTCAAGCGTTCTTTGAAAGTTTCCTAGTAAAAATTCTACGTCACCTGACTCTGTACCTTATATACTATAAAAAATTATCATCAAAAAGTGCGGGCATTTGTAATATAGACTTTAACATATTTTTAAATATTTCTAAACTGAAGATTTGCCTCAGCCTCCTATATACACCTACATAAATATGAGAATATCTTTAGCTACCCTAGCCGCTATCCTATCGTATTTTGGGACGCAAATACTTTCATGGGACGTATGTCCTAAGAGCCGCAATAATTCTTTATAAAAAACCTAAACCTTTTTTAACTTAATCTTTTATTATTTTTAAAAATATTTCCCTTAAAATAAATTTTAATTTTTTAATTTTTATTTTTATTCCATCTCTCAAACAATTTTTTACTGAAAGATATTCTCAAATTGCAAGATTTTTAAAAGAAAAAACCTTCTCTGCGTTCATTTTTATTCTTATTTCCTTCCCTATTTTTTTTCAGGCTTTTTTCGTATTTAAATGGGGTTTTTAAAGCTTTTAATGGTTTTTATATTTTTTTATTTTAAAATTTAAAAAAAAAGAGAAAAGAAAAAATAGGTAAATATGAGAGGATATTTTTGGTATTTATTTTTAAAAATACTTCACTTTTTTGCAACAATTTTTTTATTTTTTTTAGAAATTTTATTTTAGTAAATATTTAAATAGGGAGCTGTATCGATAAAAATTAGAACTAAATTTCGAAAAAAATTTTTTTGAAGAAATTTTTTAGCTTTTTGTATTTAAAAATATCTTTTATTTTTATCCAAAAAATTATTCTTTTTTCTATTAAAATTTCTCGCGCATTAAAGAAAATTAAATTTTTCTTCATAAATTATTTTTTTCTTTTAAGTAAAAGATATCTAATATTTATATTTTTTTGTTATTTTTGTTGCCATCATTCCCACGGAAAATTTAAATCTCAGAAAATGAAAGATAGAAAATACACTTAAAATATTTTTATTTTTTCTTTTAAGCTATATTTTTATTTAAATTTATTCGATAGATTTGAAATAAAAAAATAAAAATACTATCAATAATTTTTTAAATTAATTTTTTAATTATTTAAATTATTTAAAGACACTAAACATGGTGTTGAAGGGAGATAAATTTTCGTTCTAAATTATTACCGTATCTGCTTAAATAAATACCCTGGGTAATTGTTGTTTTAATCCCTCATTGCGGGAGGTAATTAACAGGGAAGGACAAAATAAACATGTAGACAAGGGGACTGGTCGCCTCAATATGAATAACCTCTCCAATTGAATGACCCGTTTTTAGGTGTATTAAAAAATAGAATGGCGGCCATTCTATTAGAATAAATACGGTATTTACGTCATTTATCAGACCGTGTCACGGATACTGATTTTGGTATCCGTATCCGGATATTTACGGTGGATACAACGGATATGGCGATATCCGCGGCATTTTGATATTATTTGTATCGATATCCGTATCCATGACCAGGTCTGTTATTCATTAGGAAATTAGTTAATTAAATTAAAATTTAATTTATTTAAAACCCCACAAAAAATTTAAAAAACTATTCTCTAATATTAATTTAAAAAATTATTTTGATTTATTAAAGTGCTATGTAGTAAATATTTTTTTATTAAAATAATATTTTTGTTTTTTCCCTTGAGTTTTAATTTTTTCATAATATATTGGAATACTTTTCACATTTTTAATATTTCTTTCATTCAGCTTCTATATTTTTTTTAATTTTTATTTTTACTAAAAATATTTTTTTCATTTTCTAGCTCCAAAAAAGGAGAGAATTTTCTCTCCCTTATATTTTATTATTCAATTATAAATACTTTTGTTGCAACAATTTAATAATTTTTTTTTATTAAAAACTTTTTTTCCTTTTTGGCATGTTATTTTTACACATTTAAAAATAAATATTCTGTCACATTTAAATATTTTTTTATTTTTTTTATTAAAAAAATAAAAAAAACTTTATTAAAATTTAATTCAGAAATTATTCGAATAATTGAATTAATGAAATTTTTTAATTTAGTAAACTTTTAATCTTTTGAATTTTAAATAATTTTGCCAATTTTGGAATTATTTAGTGTTATTAAATGTTAAAGAATTTTTTCTATTTTTTAATTCTAAAAATTTTGAAAATTAAAAAAAAATCTTTTAATTAAGTAAATTTTTTTTGAAAATTTTTTTTCAATTTTTATTTACAAAATCAGTAGGCTTACACCTATTGTATAATTCACTGATTTTTTCTTTTTTTGCCAAAAAAAATGTCTACAACCTTTTTTCCATAAAGTTATTATCCGTAGATGTACTATCTATAACTTTTGCTGGTAAATTTTACACTTTTCAATTTTATTTTTAATTAACTTAACAGCTATTTTTCCTTAATTTTCATCAAAATAAAATAATATTTTTAAACAAATTATTTTTATTAATTTTGTTTTTATCCATTTCTTCCAAATATTAAAAAAAGCAATAAATGGAAAACGAGGTGTATAATAATGATAACGAAGAAGAAAAAAGGTTTTTAGATGAGGAATTTGTAGAAGAGGATTGGCAGCTAAAAATCCCTAGAGAGTCTTCTTCTCCTCCTCCAAAAACATTTTTTGAAAAAGAAAAAAGACTTGCTCCTCCAAATAAAAGATCAACAAAACCAAAAATAATATATTCCTCTTCTTCAATGTTAAAATATCCTTCCTCTTCTTCCAAAAGTTTTTACCAACAATTGGAGCCTTGGAAACTTTCAATGGCACCAAGTGAGTTTTTAAATAACCAAAAAAGGGGGAATTTTTTTGGTTATTTTCATCTAAATATAAATGCTCTTTCTTTTAATTATTACAATTTTTTCAATATACTAATTTTTGGAATCTATAATTTTTTTCAAAATTGACTTTCTCTAAGGATCTATTTTAATGGGTACACCCCCAATGCGCCTAGCTATAACCTCGTTCAGAATTGCCGAATCCAGGACGCCCTGATTTGGCTCGATCAGCTTGTTGAGGCACATCGAACCATACCAAGGCGTCCTATATTTGATAATTGTGAACCCTGTTATAGCTCGGTGGTACATTGGCCTGCTTCCATTTTAATTAAAAATGACTAAATTTCAGAATTTATAATTGTAAATTCTGCGTTATAATTTTTTTATTTGCTACAGCTTTTATTAAATTTAATTTCTGATTTTAATAAATTCTGATTTTTTTTAATTTCTGAAATAATTTATTCTTAAGTCTTTACGAAACTTTATTCTCTTTTCATTATTAACAGAATTTATAAACAAATTACAATTTGTAAATTCTGATTTGTAATTTTTGTACCCCCCCCCCACCCCTCCAAAAAATTCTGATTTTTCTTTTAATTAAATAAAAATATCCACAGATCTTTTCCCAACACCAATATCACCACAACCCTTAACTCCATTAGATAACCAACGACTTTTTAATGAAGGAGAGGAAGAAGAAGATTTACTTATTCAACATCGAAATACTTCTCCAGTACATGTAGATGCTTTAAGGGATTTGACTATTACAATGCTGGGACCTGCTGTTGGAGGGTATTTTTTAGAAAAATTATTTTTTTGGTTTTAAAGAAATCGTAACTTTAGTTTTTTATCCTTTGAAATTTTTTTTTAAATTTATCAAAAAATTTGATAAATAAAAATATTAATTGATCATCTATTTTTTTCATTTTAAACAAATTATTATTTAATTAAATAATATTCTTCTAGCACTAAAATTATTTAAAATAAATTTTTAAAAATAAAATGTTATCTTTTGGGTTTAATCTTGCGTATTGCAATAAAATTGTAAATATAAATGTTTTTTTTTTGTTAAATAATATTATTTAATATTTGGATAATTTTAATTTTTATTATTAGGTTGGAAAATTTTTTGGAAAATTTTTGGAATTTTATTTATTTTTTGAAATTTTTTTATTTATTTTTAACTTTATTATTTTTAAATATTTTTTTGTTTTTTGTAATTAAAAAAATTTTTTTAACACAATAAATTGCTAGTTAGGACATTAAAATGTCTCAAAAAATCCAACAAAAAATATTTTCCTGTCAAAATAAATTTTTCTTTAAACAAAACAATTTACTAACCTTTCACTTCCAATTTATAATTTTCTTATCTTCTTAACTTTTTTTTTATTTTTTAATTGTTTTTACTGCTACATACTTACTTATCTTCACTCAATCACCAAAAATTACTTTATTTTTCTCTCAAAAAATTCCCAAAAATTCTTTCCATTTTTTTCTAAAAATATTTTTAATTAAATAAAAATGAATATTTTTAATATTATCTTTACTGATAATAATTATGACTATAAAAAAGCATATGCGCAACCAGGGAGACTTCAACTTTTATATTATACTTATTTATGGAGAAGAAGAGATAGGTAGTAGATTTATTTTAATTAACATTCCTCACTTAAATTCTGATTTGTAAATTTTGTTTATAAATTCTGATTTAGAAATTCTGATTTATAATTCTGATTTTTAAATTCTAATTTGTAAATTCTGATTTAAAAATTTGTAAATTCTGATTTTTAAATTCAGATTTTTAAATTCTGATTTTTAATTCTGATTTTTAAATTTGATTCAGAAATTCTGATTTTTAATTCTGATTTTTAAATTCGATTCAGAAATTCTGATTTGTAATTCTGATCTAGAAATTCTGGTTTTTAAATTCTGATTTGGAAATTCTGATTTTAATTCTGATTTAGAAATTCTGATTTTTAATTCTGTTTTAATAATTTTGATTTTTAAATTCTGTTTTTTATTTTGATTCATTAATTCTGAATTTGAATTGTAATTTCTTATTTTTCAATTCTGGCTTGAAAAATTCGGAATAAAAATCCACAAACCTCAATTTTAGTTCTTAAATTCTGATATTTAGATTCTAACTTATTTTCTGCATTGTAAACGATGTATTTTTGATTAAATATTAATTCTTTTTTACAATTCTGAATTTTTAAATATTTATTGATAAATTTCAGACTCCCATCTGTTCCTCTTAATATTTTAATAATTTTTAAAAATTATTTTGAAAATTAATTTTTACTTTATTTTATCTTTAACAATCTAACTTCTAAAAATTTATTTTATTTCTCAACTTTATTTCAAAAAATTTTTTTTACCAATTTTCTTTTCACACCTTCTTTCTGACTTTTTCACACATCTCTTTTAAAAAACTACTTTTCAAAACAAATTAATTAAAAAAATAAAACAAATAATAAATAAATAAAGAAGTTATTTATATAACTTTTTTTTTAAATTTGTCGAAATTCAATCTTTTATTAAATTTCCCTTCAAAATTTTTTTCTTTTCTTTTAAATAAAATTTTTCAACTTTTCTTCACCCTTAAATTTATTTAAAATTTAAAAATGAATCGTTATTGTCGGCATCATTCCCCTCGCCCCAAATTGTCCAAAAAACGTCAAAAACAACAAAAATATCCTTTAAAAATCGGAACATTAAATAAAAAATATAAAACAAAATTTAATTCTAATAAAATAAATAAAAAATTAAATTATTTTTTAAATGACAAAAAACATATAGAAGATCGCTCTCGAATATTAGAATTAAAAGATTCACTTGAACAAATTTATTTAGCTTTTATTTGGAACAGAAAATGGTAAAATAATTATTTTCTTAATAAAATATTTTCAAAATTATTGTCAGAATTTTTAATTGACATTTATATATTTAAAAATAATTTTATAATTAAGTCTTATTTCAATATTATTTAAATAAGAAAGAGTTTAGCAAATGTTTAGCCACCGCGCAGGATTCGAACTTCCAGTTATTCCTAGGTTCGCTCACCACATACTTTACTTGCTCTAGGTGAAACATCCTTACAAATATTAAATCCAAACTTAAGTTTAGTACATATCTAATTGATTTTTATCTTATAAATACTTATGATTAGGGATGGGATTTATATGGATTTCCATATTTTTTCCTGGCCTAGTTGGGTCGTGAAACGCACGAAAAACCTAGTTTTAGCATATGTTGATAAGACCGATAATGAGTTATCAATCCATATTTTGAGATTTTTAGTCCATATTATATGTCCATATTTTTCGATTAATAGTCCATATAAATCCCATCCCTACTTATGATTTATATTTATCTTGGTTGCAATTACCAGGATTGTCTAAGTTATGCACCAGGGATGGGCCTGGTGGAGAAATAAGTCGAGTCGAGATTCGGATCGGGTCGAGTTTGATTTGTAATTTATTTTTTTAATTTTCTATTTATTCTGAAACTTAAATTAATTTTCCAAAATTTTGATTTAAAAAATTAATTTCTCTCTAAATTCTAATTTTTAATTTTCCTATACTTTTCTAATAATTTTAAATTATTATTAATTTTAATTGAGAATTTTCTATTAAAATTTTATTTATAAGATTTAATTAAAAATTTATTATAATCTAAAAATACTTTTTAATTAATATATTATCTTACAAATCTTTTTATTTCCATTATAAACCAAAACAAAACAAAAAATAGTACATAAATATATATGTAAATACCCCGCAGGCTGTTTTTGGTACTTTTAACGGCTCATAGCTTTAAAGTTAAACAAAAAAACAAGCAAAAAAGTGTTATTTTTTACTTAATCCTTTGCTTTTATTTATTTTTTTATTTTATTTTTAGTTACTAATTTTAAATATTTTATAGTAAAATTAATTATTGCTCTATAAAATTAGAACAATAATTAATATCCAAGGCTATAATTCGTGTTTATTTTTGAAGTAAAGTAAATACAAATTGGCCTTTATACTTAATAAATTGTAAATGTATTTATACACTCTGTAACAAAATGATAGCGCCACCTATTTTTTATCGATATCCTACCAAATATTAAATGGATCTGTTTCAAATTTTGGTAGAATATAGATAAGGATATTATGTATCAATAATGGAAAGAAAAAGTTTAATGCAGATTTAAAAAAAATTTTATAATAATAAATTTGATTTTAGAGTGTAACAAAAAGATAGCGCCACTTGTATTTTTGACCTTAGGGGTTGTCCGTTTTTTAGAGAAAAAATTAAATTAATTTGTCGATTCTGGACCGACCCGAACCGAACCGAAAAATCCTCGGTTATCCGAAGAATTTCCAGAAACATACAACCCTAATTCTTACATATTTTTTTCAAATTTTCTTTTTTGTATTCAAACTTAACATTTTCTCGATTGGAGCCTTAATTAAAATTCCAATATAATTTTAAACAAAATTTAATTATAATTTCTTGTCTTTTTTTCACAAAAATTTTTAATATTTTATTTTTTTTATTTGCAAAATGTCTTCCTTTTAAGTATATTTATTAAGTATATAAAAAATATATTTGCAGCATATTTTTCTTTTTTTTTTCTTGCCATCATTGACAGCCTCCTTCCCCCTCACCCACCAACTAACTAACCAAAAACGTCAATGCCCCTGGGCGCTCATAAAGCAGTAGAAAAAGGTTCGATTCCACTCATCCAAGAGCTTTATACAATTTTTTTCTTGCAAAAAAGGCGGCATATAACATTTCTTTTATAGAAAAAATAGAAAAAGAAAGAAAATTTTCTAGTTTTGTTTCATTGTTTGTGTCAATACAAGGGAGAAGATTAATGTTAACGTAGTAGTTGCTAGTTGACTTCACAAACTATCAATTAGTGTTTTTTTCAAAAATTATATTTTTTATTTTTAAATTGACTTCAAAATTTAGATTGTTTTTCGTAATTATTAAATAAAATATGGGTAGTAGGGGTCTTTCAGAATTTTAAAAAGGGAGACACAAAGGGAAGAAATAATAACACTAATAGATAAAGCTATAATTTTCTTGAAAATTCGTGCCGAAATTTCTTTTTTAGATATAGTATTAATTAGAATTAAAAAAAATATATTTTATTCTTAAGACTTAAGAAGAAGGCTTAAGATAATAAGCCATTTTCTAGTTTAAAAAATTTAAAACAAAATTTAGCAGGTTAGGGACTTTTAAATATAGACTTATTACTCTCGTAATTAATTTAATTTTAAATTATTAATTTATAATTTTTAATATTTTCTTATTTCCTAATCTATTTAATTTATTTTCTAAATCCAAATAAATTTAAAAGAAATTTTCCATTAAAAACTCGACAATAAAAATATGCCAAATTAAATATTTTTAAAATAGTAGTTTTTTTATTTTTTCAAAAAAATCTAAGTGAAGCAAAAAAACTAAAGAGAATTGCCACTTAAAAACAAACAAACATAAATATGTATTATTTATTCATTAAAAGATTTTTTTATTTTCAAAAACTTTTAATGTAAAAATATTATTTCCGGAAAAAACCCAAGAAAATTCTTGAGTCAAGATTCAGGACCATAAGTCTTGGAAGTCTTTGTAAAATATGTTAGATATTTAAATTTAACTGTTTAATTGTACAAAATTAATATCTAAATATTAGGTTAATTTATGACCAGTTTAAATTACTAGGGTGGTCAGTAAACTATCTCTATTACGCCAATTTGGAAGTGAAATCCAAAAAATATATAAGAATTAATTTGGCAATTAAGCTTCAATTCAATTAAGCCATTTAATAAATCTATT